TTCTACCAGGAATGGTCAGGGGAAACGCAGAGCAGCGATAAGAAGAAGGGCCAAAATTAGGTGTGTGTCATTGTGGGCAGAAGAATGGGAAAGGAACCGATTCGCATGAAGATCCCATTGGATAATATGGAGAGGAAGACGCTGAATAGAATGACGGCAGTGAGCATGAGAGAGTACTGGGGAAAATAGCTGTTGAAAATTCCAAGGAAAGACCGTGAGGATGTTTTAGAAAAAATCTAGGTGAATGGAATGGATCCGGAGATGACAGCTGTGTGGAACAACCTCGGAATGGAGCTCGCGTTTTGAGGTACGTTTGATCAGAATCTGACGGTTCGGTTGTCAATGTTTTTCGGATCACATGATCCAAACGCGAGCGCTACCGTGAGCTTGGATTTGCGAGGCCGATGACATGTCAGCGCTGTCGTGAGCTGTACCGTGACAGGTATCCTCGTTGTGTCCTTCTTTCTGAGTGGTCCTTTGGATTCGTTTATGAAGCAATTCGCTCCGGATTTGAGCCTCAGTATGCCAACGGGACACTTTGCACTATGCGAAAGAAATAGAATCAGGTTCTTTTCAGATCCTGTGAAGATGATCAGGAATGGATACGCACAAGGCAACACAAGTGCCATGCCTGAGGCGAACCGTGTATTGCAGGTCGCTGTCGGAAAGGTGCAAACACAAGTTTGGTCACAGGTGTGTTGAAGGAGTGATTAATGGATCTATGTGAGGCAGTGTTCTGGCGCAGCCCAAAAGACTCGTCGTTGACCTATACCCGGCTATACTACAGTCAACTTCGCTTATAACGACACTCTGCGGGGCATCAGAAAAGTGTCCTTATTTGCGAAGTGTCGTTATACCCGAAGTCTCATTATGTGTCACAGTTGGATGGGACTTTGCTCTGGGCATGAATTATATGTCGCTATTCGCGAATTGTCGTTATATCCGCAGTCGTTATTAGCGAAGTTGACTGTGGTCGTTGACCTATACCCGGCTATACTCGTCGTTAACCTATACCCGGCTATACTCGTCGTTGACCTATACCCGGCTAAACTCGTCGTTCGCCTTTCCCCGGCTACAGACCATTTTGTGAGTTGATCACTTTGGTGCACAAATTCCATATCTCGCGTCTTGGTTGAAATGGACTTACCCGCAAGCGATTTTGACATTCATCTAACACTGACGTTCGGTGAGAGAACATTAATTTTGTCTAAACAATTCGTCAGCCCCCCCCCCCCCCTTCCTACTCGATCGAGGTGCAATAGCCAGCTGCATGTCTTTGTTGCATGATCGCTTGGTCTCCTTTCCCATCCAGCACACGCCTCCGGTAAACCCTAGCGACAGATGCAGCGCCTTACAGTGGGGGTGAGTGGATAAGTCTCACAACCACTTGCACAAGTGCCCAGAAACCCCATTAGCCGCACCCATGTACCCCTTGTGCCTGGTCATAAGTTCCCAGTTGACTGTGGGTAGCAGCACGGCTTGAAAAACCGCTCCAAGTCAGGACTTGAACCAGGTGCCTCTCGTGTCCCAATCATGGTCTTTGACCAACCCACTGTGCCTGTCTGGTTTAGGGGTTACTGGGTGTTAGCGGCCGTCGTGAGTTCCCTTCGGAAACGGACACGATAATTAAATTTTACTTTGCTTTACTTGCAAGACTCCGTGCAAGTTGTGGACCAGTACAAAGCCAAAGCCAAGGTCTTTTGGAATGCGTGTGTATATGAATATTGTTTGGCTGGTGATCGGGAAAGCGAGACATTGCAATAAAATTCTCTTCCATCTTAGCTTACTTGCCTTCGCACTAGAGAGGTTAAGATGCACGTTATTTCCGACGTGACGCGAAAATTCAGCTCGCGTTATTTGCTCGCACGTCGAAAAATCAACGCGAGCGGCCTGCTGCTCACGTCCAAATTTGGAGTTTTACGCCAAATTCGACGTGAAATTGCGCGTCACGTCGGAAATAACGTGCATCTTAAAGGGGAAGTTAAGGCAAAAATTAAAATTTCACCAGTTGTAGTCTTCGGGGTGCTGAGTCCAATGGTCGTGGTCCGAGGAAGCTGAGACGCTCCCTTCCTACTTGAATCCCAATCGAACTCGCGCACTTCCACCGAAACTGGGTGACTGCGCCCTAGTAGATGGGGATTTGTATGCAAAATGTCACTAAAAGCGCCATTTCGTTCTTATAAAAGCACGGATGACCGCGATTGGCCCATATGTTGTAGTCGTTTGGACGCTGCGTCGACTGGTTTTGGTCCGAAAAGGCTGCGATGCAGCGTTCCTCCTTTATTCCCAATCGAACATGGTTGAACAAGCGGTCACGTGCTCCTGCGTACACCAGTCACCTGGTCACCGTGCCTGCAGGGTACACCTTACTAGCCTGTTTGACCTTTTTTGGGTGCAGTCCTGTCACTCGAGTTGAACCTTGGTGTGAAAGTTGTCGCCTGCTGGCGTGGTGACCAGGTGATTTGGGCACGTGACCGCTTGTTCAAGCATGTTCGATTGGGAATAAAGGAGGAACGCTGCATCGCAGCCTTTTCGGACCAAAACCAGTCGACTCAGCGTCCAAAAGACTACAACATATGGGCCAATCGCGGTCATCCGTGCTTTTATAAGAACGAAATGGCGCTTTTAGTGACATTTTGCATACAAATCCCCATCTAGTTGGGCGCAGTCACCCAGTTTCGGTGGAAGTGCGCGAGTTCGATTGGGATTCAAGTAGGAAGGGAGCGTCTCAGCTTTCTCGGACCAAGACCATTCGACTCAGCACCCCGAAGACTACAACTGGTGAAATTTTAATTTTTGCCTTAACTTCCCCTTTAACCTCTCTAATGTCTTTTGGAACGCGCGTGTACATGATCAATGTTTGTATTAGTGGGGCCGCAGGAGGTAACTTTGGATAATAAGTACATTGGATACTACGTACTTATTCCCACACTCCGACTCGCGAGGGAGTACGTCTTATCCGAGGTCCACTTAGTTCCAGTAGAGAAACAATGAAAGCGACACAACTCTGCAGGATAGCTGAAAGGCGAAACATGTCAACTCATATTCATCTTCACGGGATCCCAC